CGCCGGGCGCGGCGGGAGGAATGTGACCCAAAAGCGCTGCCCTGGCCGGGGCTGCGCGTCTCGGCGTGCCGGGCTCTGCCCCGCCACCGCGCCCCTCGTCCCCCGCTCCCCGCCTCAGCCGGGGGGGGACAGTTTTTGGCAGTAGCGGCCGGGTGAGTCTATTTAGGCAGGAAGACGGGATCCCCGCGCGGGGCTCGGTGCCTGTCCCATGGGGGGTGGCCGGGGGACCCCCCCGCCGCTGCCCACTGTGTCCCCGTCCCCCCAGGTGCAGCTGATCAATGACGCCTACAACGCCGTGGTGGACGCCGTGCTGGGAGCCGAGGCGGAGGCGGGCGAGGGGAGGGAGCCCTGCGCCGCCATCCTGGCCACCCTGAAGCACGTCCGCATCCCCATCGTCAGCCTGGACGTGCCCTCAGGTCCGGCACAGCGCTCAGCGCCCCCCGGGCAGGATAGGACCCCCGCAGGGTGCTGCACCCCACACCCCGGGCTTGTCACCCTGCCCACCGCGGCATCGCCCTGGGCTCGGCGCCTGGGCGGGCGGGGAGCCCCCGCGGTGCCCTCCCAGGGTGGGGACAGCCCTGGGGACCCCCCGCTCTGCCCCCCCAGCCTGGCAGCATCCTCACTGGGAGCCGGGGCTGGCAGCCGCTCCCCACGGATGCATTCAGGGCATCCACGATAAATAACAAACTCCCTGAACTGAGACATGATGTAATTTGAAAACACCCGGGTGTCTGGTAGCCAGGCCTGGAATTGCCATCACCCCCCCCGCCGCGTCCACTCCCGCCGCAGGAGCAAACAGGAGCCCTCGGCACGGCCGCCGGTGAATCCCCACCGAGAAAAACCCCGCGTGGTGCCAGGATGCGGCCGGAGCCGCGCAGGGTGGCGATGCTCGGGGGACACACACGCACCCCATCCTCCCTGTGCCCTCCCCATCTCCGTCACCCCAGAGCATCCTCCACCGGCGCACCAGCTCGGAGCTGCCGGCAGCACCGCGTCCCCTGGGGCCACCCCCTGACCCCCTCCCCGTGTCTTTTCTGCTGTCGCAGGGTGGGACGTGGAGGCCGGGAGCAGCGGCGGGATCAGCCCCGATGTCCTGGTGTCGCTGTCGGCGCCCAAGCAGTGCGCCCGCCGCTTCCTGGGCCGCCAGCACTTCGTGGCCGGTCGATTCCTCCCCTACGACGTGCAGAAGAAGTTTGAGCTCAACCCACCCGAGTACCCCGGCACCGAGTGCGTGGTGGCCCTGCGAGCCCCCCGGGAATAAAGCGCTTGGTGGCTCTTCCCCGGGGCCGGTGTCTGCCTGGGGACACGGGGTGAGGGGACGGTGGCCTCCCGGTAGGATTTGGGCCGGGGGCTTGTGCCGCGACTCGGTTCCATACCCCATCCATGCCGGGGGACTCGGCCCCATGCACGGCTCGACAGCCCACGCCGTGTCCCCTGGGATCTGTCGCCAACCTGCTGTCAGGGACAGACCCGGTGTGACCTCCTCTATCGCCCATCCCACAGGGACGTGGGCAGCCACCAGGGTCCCACGGGTGGCTGCGGAGTCCCCGGTGCTGCCGCATCCCCCCATAGCCTGAACCCCCTGAATGTGCTGGGGAGGGGTCCCCATCCCCCGGGGGAGCAGCCCCCTCGCTGTGGGGTGTTTAATTAACAGGGATGGCAGTGATGAGCCACTGCTGGGGACCGTCCCCCCCGTCCCAGCAGAGAGGGTGTTCTTGACCCCACAACAGCGCTGGGAGCTGCCTCCCTGCCCCAGGGAGCTCGGTGCAGCCGGAGTTTTGGGGAATGCAGGGAATGCGCCGGGATTTCCGCCGGCCGGGCTGCGGTCGGGGGCTGCGGTCCCCAGCCGTGGGCAGCTGAGGTTTGGGGGTGATGCTGGGGGGGCCCCCACCCCGTCACCCCCCCTCCCACCATCACACGCCAGCGCTGCTGGGTGCTTTGCATCCTGCAGCCCTGAGGGGCAGTCGGGGCCATGGGTGCACCGAGCTCTGCACGGCCTCAGCTCCACCTCGGCATCGGGCGGCTCCGGCACACCCACGTGGGCCAGGTCACGGCACGGGCGCCCACCGGCCCCGCCAGCCCGCCGTGCCCCGAGGCAGCGGGTGCCAGGGGAGCGCTGGCACCCCGACCCCAACCGCAGGAGCGCCGAGGTCGGGCTCGCTCGGCTTTTTCCCTTCCCTCCCCTCCGCATTCCCAAGTGCATCCAATTTTAGCAGCTTTGCAAAAACAAACCCTCAAGTTTCCCGGGCTGGAGCGGCGAGCGGCAGCGCGTGGCCGGCTCGCCGGGGAGGGCTCCTTCCCGCTTCCCTCTTGACTCCGATCCAGCCGCGGCAGAGCCGACGGCCCCAAGTGCCAGGAGCCGATTGCTGCTGTCTGCCGACGCGAGGGGGAAAGGCCTCATATATAGACCCACGGTGCTGCCGCGCTTGCAGTCGCCGGCCGACCTGCCGCCGTGCGGGCAGCCATGGGGGAGCTGGCGCTGGCCCTCCTGGCTCTCGCCGCCCTGCACGGTGCTGGGGCACCAGGTAAGGCCGGGTCTGCCGGCTAACCACGGCACGGGGACCCATCCGTGCTGCTGGCCGGGGGCATCCCTGCCCTCCCGGGGTGATGCGGGGCAGGATGGGGATGGGGCTGAGCTCTCGCCAGATGTGTGCCGGGGCCAGATGTGCCGGGGCCAGATGTGTGCCAGGGACAGAGGTGCGCCAGGGTTGTGGTCACGGCTGGGGACGGTCCCTCCGGCGGGAGGACGTGTTGGCGAGGCTCAGGGCGGTTTTGCCCTCCCCGGGGCCATGTCACTGGAGGGACGGGGACGTGCCCCGCGCCGTGTCCCTGCCAGCCCTGCCTGCTCCGGCGCTGGATGGCTCAGCACCTGCGGGAAGCCCCGGCTGGCTCGGCCACCTCAGCGGCTCCATGGGGCTTTTGCCCCCTGGTGCTGAGGCCCCCCAGCCCCACGGGGGGTCTCCGCAAGGTGCCAAGGGCAGCGTCTGTGCGAGACTGAGCCGGGAATGTCCCCGCTCTGGGGACAAAACCCACCTGCAGAACAGGGGCTGTGGCGGGTCCCGCTGTCCCCCAGCTCCCTGCCAGCTGGGGAGGGGACAGGAGGTGGCAGGGTCGAGTCCCCCCTGCAGCGGGATCGCTGCTGGTGGAAGGACGGTGCCCACTGCGTGCCCGTGGGGTGCCCGTGGGGTGCCCGTGGGGTGCTCACAGTGGTCCAGGCTGCACAGGGACATCTTGAGTGGTCGGCCGCATCCTGCCCGGTGCCCGTGGGTGACAGGTACCAGGGGCCAGGTTTCTCTCCAGGGAGCCGCTGCCCGCATCCGTCCCCTCCAGCATGGCTGAACCCTGCGTCTCAGCACCCGGGATCACCCGCATGAGGGGCAGGCGGGCAGGGCTGCCCTTGGAGACCCCAGCTCCCTGGGGTTCACTGCCGTGGGACATGGCTGGCCGGGCTCGGTGGGAGCTGGGGGGGACACCCTCCACCCGGGGTGCACAGCGAGCCCCCCGGGCCGGCCACTGCCGTGGCAGCATCTCCGCTTGCCGGCTGTGGTTTTACAGCCCATTTTCCTGCCACCTCCTGGTTTGGCTGGGGGGGCTCAGTGTGACGCTGGGTTCGTGCTGTGGCCTCGGCATGCGGGTGCGTGCGTGGGCACCCCGGCCCATCTCATCGTCCCACATCACCCCCGGGGCTGAGCTTGCCCCAGGGCAGCCAGGAGCTCACAGGCAGCATTTCCCCGGTGTACAGCCTGTGGACATGGCGTGGGGCCCAGCATGGCCAGCCTCGCCACACGGCACCAGCCTCGGCTGCCCCTTGGTCCATCCCCAGCTGGCCGGGGGGCTGCAGCCCGTCCTCGGCCACCCTGGATGATGACACCACCAGTTTGGCCCCATGGCACCGGTAAATCCTGCCCTGAGCCCCTTGCCCGGCTGACAATGTGGGGCCAGGGGGCTCAGGGTGGGAGGGGGTCCCCATCCGTGCTGGGACGTGGTCCTTCCCGGCACCGGCTGAGCTTTGCTGCATGATGTTGGTGCCCACGGCTCAGCGAGGGACCGGCTGGGCACCATTGGGTGCCCTGGGGAGAGGGTGCCCCGGCACCAGGTGCTCTCACCCTGTGCTTCCCCCAGAGCCCATGGAGAACGACTCGGAGCCGGGTAAGAGTGGCGCGGCGGGGAAGCCTTGGAAAGCGGCCCCCAGCCTGGCAGACCTTGACCTGGACACGGCAGGGACGGCTGGCCCCCAGTCCCCTCCAGACATTGTCCCGCTGGGGACCCGCGGGACACCCCAAAGGGGCTGCACGGGGCAATGCCCACCACGCCAGAGGTGCCATCTCCCCCCACGGTGGTGTCCCCATGGGACCCTCGCAGCAGGGCTGTGGTGTCCACCCTGCGCACCCCGAGGCTCCCGCACCGCATCCCCTCGGTGCCCTCCATCCCTGCGTGCTTCATCTGCTCATCCTCTGTCCGTGCAGCCCCCGATGTCCCTGAGCTGTCCCCAGCCCCAGCGGCACCCCGGGGTGCTTAGGGACCGGGGGGGCTGCTCCCCATCCGCGTGCTCAGGGCTCGCTCCCTCCCAGGCGGAGGAGCCGAGTGGACGTCCTGGTTCAACATCGACCACCCCGGGGGGGACGGGGACTACGAGAGCCTGGAGGCCATTCGCTTCTACTACCGCGGGCGCGTCTGCGAGCGGCCGGTGGCCATCCAGGCCCGCACCACCGAGTGGGAGCTGCCCGAGGACGTGGGCGAGGTGGTGCACGTCAGCCCCAAGAAGGGTTTTCGCTGCGTCAACAAGGAGCAGCCGCAGGGCAAGACCTGCTCCAACTACCACATCCGCTTCCTCTGCCCGCTGGGTGAGTGCTGGTCCCCGTCACGTCCCACCCCCCAGACCCCGCTGGCACTTTGGGGGGGGGGGTCCATACCTATTGCTGCGCTCACCCCTTGCTCGTCACTGCTGCTGTGTCCCACCGGGTGCTGCCGGACCTGCAGCTGCACCAGAGACCCCCCCCAAGCAATCACTCCCCTGGGTGCGCGGTGCTGGGCACCATTCCGGGGGCAACGTGCCCCCTGCAGAGCTGGGTGCGGGTGGTGGGTCCCCAGTTAATGCCTCTGCCCCCACCCAGAGCACATCTACTGGTCACACTGGTCCTCCTGGAGCCCCTGCTCACGCCCCCCCCCCCCCCCCCGGGGGCGCCGGCGCCCCCCACCCCCCCCCCCGCCGCTGTGTCAACGCCCGGCTGGTGGCCGCACTCAAGGAGCTCAAGTGCAAGGGCAAAGCCGTGGAGCGACGGCCGTGCAGCGCTGGCCCCTGCCCAGGTAGGGACCCCGGCACCCCCACCAGCACCCACCCGCCCCCCGGCCGCTGCTCACCGCCTGGCGCTGGCCACCTCCCGCTCCTCTCCCGGTGCCGGTGGCACAAGGGGTCCCGTGGGGCCGTTTGCACGTGGCGGCTGCCCCCCCGCCGACGCGGCAGCTTTCCCCGCGAAGCCACCGCTGCCTGCACATCATCAGCTTAATTGCAATAGCAGAGGCCGCGCTGGTAAAAATAGCTTGGCAGGGGTGCGCAGGGGTGAGCCGGGGCTGGCCAGGCACGGGCGGCTGGATGGAACCTCCCCGGCTGGGGACCCTGCCATGTCCCCGTGGTGCAGGGCCACCCCGGGCTGGGGGCTGGGGGGAGCACGGTGCCCAACGCCTGCCCGGCGTCTCCCCCGCAGAGCCGGTGTGGATGGAGTGGGGCGCCTGGGGCCCCTGCTCCCGCAGCTGCGGCAGCACCGGGACGCGTGTCCGGCGCCGGAGCTGCAAGAAAGCCAAGAAAATGCTGTGCACCGGCCGCCCCACCGAGGTGCAGAAATGCCCCCCCTCGCCCTGCCCAGTCACCTGCCCTCTGGGGACCCCCTCCCTGGTGCCCCCCACCCATGTGGCCCCCCCGCCGGCCACGGCCATGGGGCCTGAGCGCCATGCCACTCCGCAGCCTGTCCCGAGCACACGCTGCAGGGCACCGTCGTCTCCACCACCGGCGCGGTGCTGCCAGACGCCCGCATCTACCTGGAGGGCCGCCCGCCGGTGCTGCTGGCCCGCAGCGATGCCCGCGGGCACTTTGCCGCGGCAGGGCTGTGCGAGGGCACCGCCGCCAACGTCAGCGCCCACCGCGAGGGCTTTGCCCCAGGACTGGCACCCATCATCTCCAACGGCTCCGGCGTGGCGGTGGCACACGTGGTGCTGCAGAGGCTGGGTGAGCATCGCGACGCGGGGCGGGGGCCGAGCCGTGCA